GGGGGAAGGAGACAGGGGAGACAGGGGAAGGACAGAGGGAAGGAGACAGGGGGAAGGGGAGAGACAGGGGACAGAAAGGAGACAGGGGAAGGAGACAGAGGGGAGAGGGAAGGAGACAGAGGGAAGGAGACAGAGGGAAGGAGACAGAGGGAAGGAGACAGAGGGAAGGAGACAGAGGGAAGGAGACAGAGGGAAGGAGACAGAGGGAAGGAGACAGAGGGAAGGAGACAGAGGGAAGGAGACAGAGGGAAGGAGACAACCCATTAAGGAGATATCCAGAGGGAAGGAGACCATAGGGAAGGAGACAGAGGGAAGGAGACAGAGGGAAAGACAGAGGGAAGGAGACGAAAGGAGACAGAGGGAAGGAGACAGAGGGAAGGGAGACAGAGTTGGAGACTGGGAAGGAGACAAAAGGAGACAGAGGGAAGGAGACAGAGGGAAGGAGACAGAGGGAAGGAGACAGAGGGAAGGAGACAGTTTGAAGGGTCAGATGAGGAAAGGAGCAGACCAATATATCCATTCCATTCGTTTTAAAGAACGAAGATACCACAACCCATTGTTCGAATAAAAAGCCAAAATATCTCTGATGACAGTTTCCGTATTTGATTTGACGATACACATGACAGCTCTTTTTATCCTGAAAAAGCGCTCAAGAAATATTCCGTCTCACATGCAACGATATTTAACTGATCTTTTTTTGACTATCTTTATCGCTATGGACACTTCATTTTCCGCTCGTGAAATCTTTGAAGAGTGATGGACTACAATCATTAGATTGGGTTTTTTGTTTTTTTTTCACTTTATCTGCACTTTGGTAAATATATGTTTCTTTTCGTTCTCTTGCTCGCTTATTATAATGCAGTTAATGTCTTTCATTACAAAAAAAGAATTCTGGAAATGACCGATTTGGACTAATTTGGAGTAGCTAGTTTCAAAACAAAATCTTTTTGCCTATCCCGTTAAGTGTGAAATTGACTATGACAGACAAATAGAAATTTAAATATTAATTTTTTGTGTGATGTCTGAATGTTTGAATTGTAAATAGACTCACCTGTAACGGAAAAATATATTTCAGAATAACTATAACTATTATATATGTTCATTGTATTCCATAGGCTATATAATATAAACACCTCAAAAGTTTACGGTTGGACTAATATTGGTTAAGGAACAATACGGACTTTCATTATTTTTAATTTTTTTTTAGATCAGGGGATTCTCAACCAGGAGTAGACTTCCCACCATAAAGAAAAGGTGAATTTTCAGGTTTTCGTTGTTTGAAAAAATGTTTCACTTTATGCAAGTTTCCCAGTGATTGTAATCTTCCTCAGAATAAAATCTGTTTAAATACTTTTTTGATTGAACTTTTATTATTAAATTACAGTACGCTGACATTCTATTCTTCAATAAACAAAAAGTTTATTGAAGTATGCTTCCGTTTGTTAATTTAAAAATTATGAATCAAAACAAAATACTGTACATGTATTGTAGTTCAAAAATCCATCAACATTTTCTGTTGGTATTAAATTTGTAAAATCACCTCTCTCTAAAAAAAAAAAAAAAAAAAAAAAAAAAAGATACATGTATGATATGGAAAAGAATGAAGATTTAATATTATATGCATATTATTTGTAATGCAACTTTTGAGTTGGACAATCTTGGAAAAGTGAGGCGGGGATCCCATACTGATTTCTAGTATAAAGGTTGCATTTGGCAAAAAAAAAAAAAAAAAAAAAAAAAAAACGGTTGAGGACCATTGTTAGATTTATTTCTAAAAATAACAGAATGGCTTCGACTCAAAGAAAATGGCTAAAATATCAAGATTTTTTTTTTTTTTGCTATTTTGAGAAAGTGCCGTTCCAAACCAAAAGATGAATATTAAGGATTTCGTGAAGAGACCGCACTTGGCTCAATTTCAGATTAAACTGTGATGAGAACAAATATAGGGACCCGCATCAAGTATGCAAGTCACGTGTGAAGCATTTACACCAGTGGACAAAGGGGACGAGATATAGATTAGTATTTCAGTGATATGAACAGAGCATATATTAAAAAAATGAAATATTTTTGTCTCCCGAAGCCTTATTATAATAAGAAAATCTAGCAGAAACTATTACCGATATATGCATTCAGTCAGCATATATCTCATTCAGAGGAAAACTCTTAGTTTTACATAGATGCTTTTACTAGAAGAGGAAAATGATACTAATACATCAGATGATATTCGTAAACATGATAACGAGATGGATTTTGTACAAGCTTCAACTCCAGAACCTCAAAGTTTTTCATCAAGCAGGATTGAAAGACTTAGTAAGATATTTAGACTTATCAAAACTATGAGCTTCAGGGCAAGAAATAGTTGCAAAATGGTACAAAGTTAACATTTTATCATAACAGCAAAAGAGACTATTTACATCATTGTCCTCATCTTTATTGGCATATTAACGGCGCTTCGGCCGTTGTGCGCTCCAACCTTCTTCAGGTGATATACGGTGGAATTTTGAACTGAACACTTAGTCCACGGCGGGAGATTGTTCTAATTCCACGTGCCATGCCTTTTTTTGGGATATCTCAGCACCAGCTCATTTCCTTTAGTAAGTCAACTCTCCAAGTTTTGTTCCCTCTGCTGTAACCAGGCATTGAACTCACAACGCTTTGGGCCAAGTCACTTTTTGGATTACTCAATCCACTGGGCAATGTGAAACGTCGTGAATATGGCAATAAAGATGAAAACAAGAGACCGAACGATGTAAATAGTGTAAGTAGTTAGAATTTCCTCACTGCAGAAATATAGAGACAGAACGCAAAAAAAGGCACTAATTTACAACAGACAATGATTTTATTAACTGTCATGACGTGTCAGGATAGTTGAATATAATAGGTGTGATTCCATATGAAGCATATGAATGGGGGTTGTCTTTAGATTGAAAAAAAAAAAAAAAAAAAAAAAAAAAGGAGTCTAAAGTATCTATCACTACATAATGGAAATTTATTTGGTGCAATTACTCTTGTTAAATAAACAGGATTATAGATACACAAATAATATTAGGTTTATTTAGATATGATTAACACAAGTGCATCATGTGTGTTTACTTGAAGAGAGTTCATTTCTGACTTGGCCAACAAGGATATTCAAAATGTCCAGGTTTCTTGTGATTGTGGATAACCGAGTTGTGGACAAACATTGGAATCAGAAAAAATTGACCTGTTAGAACAAGTTTGATTATGGAAGAAAATAATGCCGTAAACTTACCACAGGAAAAGAGAACAAAAATCAACTTTCCTCCCCTGCATATATACTAGGCCTAATGAAGCGATTTGTCAAAACGCTTAATGTAAAGATTAACTGTTTCAAGTAGATGTACACAGCATGTCCCGACTCGGCTTATGACAAAATAAAAACTGTTTTTTTATAGACTACATATCGGAAGATTAATGAAATACCTAAATTTAACAAACTCACTACTTGGCACATATAAAAAATAGTATGAGAATTCTTTGAGTGTCTTTAAAAAGAACCTTTTGGGTGGAATATAAAGTCTGAAAAAAAAAAAAAAAAAAAAAAAAAAAAAAAAAAAAAAGTCATTTAAACTATTTACATTATTCGAACTGTTGTTCTCATCATTGTCATATTCACCAAGTTTCGGCTGTTGTACGCGCCAGCCTTCTTCAAGTGAAATACGTTGGAATTTCGAAACGAACCCTTTATTTCGTCCACCGGGGTAGATTGTTTCAGTTCCACGTGCCATACCTTTCCTGGATATTTTTAGTATCAGTTGTTTCTGGCGTGTTCATTCTGATCTAACCGTAAGCATTGTCGAAACAGTTTTTCATCTTTTGCGGTGAAACACGAGAATTTTCTCAACGACTTTTTTTTTTAAAACCATTTCACCGAAGGCGATAAAGTCACTAAGACAGAATGGGTTACGGTGAATTAAATAATCAGAAAAATGTCATTATTAAGGAAAGAGGACAATAAATGAACAGAATTCAAGGAGACAAAATATAACGATTGACATCGCATTTCAATTTTTTGAAGATCAAAGTTGATTGGAAAGCAAAAAAAAAAAGAAAAAAAAAAGAGAATTCTAGAAAAGAGAAGAAACTGTTAGCATATAACTTCTGGGTAGCGAGGCGAACAAAGGAAAGACGTGGCCCACGCAACACCGGATATCACTGTAACTTTCCACCGACCGGATACACAAAGCACCACGTTGTATCTATTATTGCACTCGTGCCGGTGTACCTCCCAAACCTGCAAAAGGCCTACTGCAAGGTCATCAGGAAACGAAAGATGACAAAAAAAACGACCTAGCGAAAAATGAGGATTTGAAAACTAAGGGCTTCAATTGCACGATTTAGGTTGACAGGTAGGTAGATGACATTTGGAGGAACTTATGCCATACCGGTCTAATCGGTCAACTCTTCATTCGATTAACTCTACGACCACCCTGACATCATGACATTAGTCGGACAGCTGTAACAGGCGGTAACGGATCTACCCCAAGGGACAATGTGAACGGGCGACCCAGAACTAAACTATATCAACTCGTAAACGGAAAAATTCAAATTCTAGTTTTGTTGTCACATGATCCCGATAGTGTTCATTTATTTATTTCCTTTCGGTCAAATGAGTAACCGCTTTATCGCTGGTCATAAAATATGAAACAGTTTAGATCAAGATAAAAAATCTCACACGATCTCCTATTTGGGTGTCCCTGTCATAGTTTCACACTATTATCTATTATAAATTGAACGAGGGAAATCAAAATATGGTACTTTATACTATATTTCAAATAAAGCATATGCATAAAAAACTGTTTCTAAGTCTGTTCCAAATAGAACACGATTATTTTGAATGAACCGAAAATTAAACAAAACTAACCAATCAAAATGATTCTCGGTCATTTTGATTAGTCAGTGCTGGTCTTAATCTGTCTACTAAAATGGACCAGAAATGCCAGATGCCAAAGTTCAACTCTGCATTGGCATCGGATTCCCTACAATTTCGATCCCCATAAAAACGGAGAAGCTGATAAAAATGTCTGTCGAGCGAGAGTGCAAGGAACCATCTGTGTAATTTGTGGATCGGCAGTGTCCCTTTCTGCTTGACCCTTGCAGCTAGCCGACGCCGATAGAAGGAAATTGTTTTGCGAAATGTCATCAATAAAGGCTGGCAGAACGGGAATGGATCACCTCTAGTCGTCATTAAGCAGACCTAGCCCCAAATTGTCTTGGTCATATGACTAATTTACTAATAAGTTTCCTCGTTGAATTTCATTGATACCCCCAGCAAGGGAAAATAAATCTGCAGTAACCATGTGATAAAAATAAAGTCACTGGCACACGATCGTAAGTATCGATGATCGGAGGATAAAGATATGCAGCCTTTGTGACTAAAACACTGCTTGTTTAAAAATCAAGACGTTCAAAAATACACAGAATTTTCACGTGTTTGGCAAATGAATATATTTTCAAGAGGTTTCAGAACAACGTATAGTAGAAAAAAAAAAAAAAAAAAAAAAAAATGCAATGAAGAAAAAAAAAAAAAAAAAACGCGACGGATATGAAAAAAAAAAAAAAAAAAAAACGACGACAGGAAAAAAAAAAAAAAAAAAAAGGAAAAAAAAAAAGAAACGGCGGCGACGACGACAGAAAAGAAAAAAAAAAAAGGGCGAAAGAGAAGGGCGAGAAAGAGAAGGGGCGAGAAAGAGAAGGGCGAGAAAGAGAAGGGGCGAGAAAGAGAAGGGGCGAGAAAGAGAAGGGGCGAGAAAGAGAAGGGGCGAGAAAGAGAAGGGGCGAGAAAGAGAAGGGGCGAGAAAGAGAAGGGGCGAGAAAGAAAAGAAGGGGCGAGAAAAGAAAGGGCGAGAGAAGAGAAGGGCGAGAAAGAGAAGGGGGCGAGAAAGAGAAGGGGCGAAAAGGGGCGAGAAAGAGAAGGGGCGAGAAAGAGAAGGGGCGAGAAAGAGAAGGGGCGAGAAAGAGAAGGGGAGAAAGAGAAAGAAAGAAAAGAAGGGGCGACGACGACAAAAAGAGAAGGGGGCGAGAAAGAAAAGAAGGGGCGACGACAACAAAAAGAAAAAAAAGGGCAATGACCGGAAAATGAAGAAGAAACAGACAGAAAGAGAGAAAAATGAAAAGAGAAACAGAAAAATGAAAGAAAAAGAACAGAAAGGGGAAAATGTCTACGTATGTGGAAAGCATTTTCAGGAACATAGAAATATCAGTCTTCAGCCATTTTATATTGTTTGAGAGAAGTTTTAAACTTTCCAATTTCTACTCGCTCGGCCTTTAGAAATTCTACTAGTGTGGATCATTAAGATTTCCAATTATCTCTGCTCGTCTCTGACCTTTTATCTCGATCTTCTCAATTTCTCCTTTACCTCTTCCAATCTTCGTCCATGTTTTATTTGAATGTTAGACAAACACGGGTTAGTCTTAGACACGAAAAAGAAATAAATGCACAAATATTTTCTACTGTGTCCTCTTTTCCATGTTCTGTCTATAATTTTTAATGCATCACACTTTTTTTCGCTTTTCCACCCCCTACCTACTTCACAAATAAAGTTTCGATCGTTATCTCTTCATATCCAGCCAGCAAGATTGCCCATGTATCACCATTCATTCTTCTAATTATCTTATAGCTGTATTTCTTGTTTATCTTTCTCATCTCTTACATTTCCTTTATCTCACATTTTCCCCCTAAATCCTTCATGCTCGATATTATATAGGTTTCTTGGTTTACCGATTCCAGCTCAGAAAGGCTGGAGATCGGTCTAAGAAACAGGATGTTCTAAAAGGCGCATTACCATTAATAACACTGTAAATTTTATATTTATTTACCAAATGGAATCATGTTTCTGTATATGACAATATATTAAATTTTATTAGACGAATTATGGAAGATGATGTCTTGCAAAATTTGCTATTTCACAAGTGTCATGTTTTCTGCCAATAGTCGCGTCACTTTCGAAACACCCTGCTGGTACCTTCACTAATTCGCTGAAAAAAACAGCATAGCATGATGATAATGGCCCCAAACTTAAAAACAAATTTATAGTCAAAATGTTTGTTATTATTAAGAGGAAAGAAAGTATTTTTTTCATTTTAAGATTTTTCATTCTTTCTAGCACGTTCGAAATTTTGGTTAAAAAAAAAAATCTTTTTTTTTTTGCATTAGTGGTCGACGTAATAGTTACAAAAATCAAATAATTGTTGGATTTTTAATGAAACTTTCAGGCCTTATTCAGAAATGAAATTATTTTTGAAATATTTTCTTTAGTAAATCTTGGTAAAAGAATTTTTTAAACATTAACCCCTGCCACACACACACAGTTAATTTCATGAAATTTCGAAAAATTGAATTTTAATCGGAAAATTTGTTTTATTAGAAGCATGACTCCTTGGAAAATAAAAACTTTTTTTTTTCAAACTGCTACCCATTTCTCAAAAATCTACTCGAATTGTGTAAAAGAAAAAAAAAATAAATGCAGTAAAAAAAAAAAAAAAAAAAAAAAAACTTTAATTGGAAAAGTTTTAATTGCTTTTTTATACAAGATTTATTAAGGACAATCTTGTCTTAAAAAATTCGATGAATAATTAAATAAGGAATTGAAATTGTTTTTTTTAATTATAATATATATTTTAATTCTACTATACTATTAAAGTAAGCTAGAATTTTAAGATTTAATTTTTTTTTAAATTTAAAAAATGTGTTTCACTAAATATCTGCTAATGCAATTTTTTTTTGCGTTAGGTGATATTAAGTAAAAACTATATTTGCTAATCACAAATTTAAAAGCTTAACACAAATTATTTTGCACCAAACTTTTTAAATTAATTTTTTTTTTTTTATCTATATAAATTATTATGCAACGTGACCATTTTTGAAGTATGGTCGACCATACACGACATTATCAGAAAATAAGAGCGGTGACTATGCTAAATTTAAAGTCAACATTCCTAAAATTAGATTAGGGAGAACATTTTCCAACATTTTAAAGATTACTGAGTACTTAAAAATTATATAAAGAAAGACGCTCACATCATTTTCTTAAATTATGTTTTACAGATAAAGTCTCCGTAGAACAACAATCGATCTATCATCGCCTCGTCAGTCACATAAGACATGACTACTATCGTTTAAAAACACATACTCTTTGTTTTAAAAATACATTTCTGTGTTATTTTAAACTTAAAGTAAATAGTATTTGTTTCAAATCAAATTAATTATACTTTAAATCAGTTAATATTCCTCAGTTTCAGAAAAGTATTTTATTTTTGGAAGATTTTTAATACAGAAAATTACATTGCGATGAAAGACGACTAAATAAAAAAATAAAAAAAAAAAAGCGCTAATCAGCTATTTTAGAAAAAAATCGATTCCAATCAATATCATGTCTGTTTGAAATACACCTGATTATTGTGCTTACTGGAAATAGTAAATTTAATCCTTTTGCAATTAAGGCTAAAATAAAAGCTTCAAGAATGTATTTTCATTTATAGAAATTAATTTAAAACTTTAGGTATCGCGAATTAGTGTAGTTACCTAGTCTAATAATACACTGCTCTCTGGTAGGAAAGCGTAACAATCGTATATGCAAAAAGTGTGTACCATCCCCTCTGTAAGCGAGCAATCTTGACTCTCCACAACTTCCTATCCCTTGTAGCTTTTAGCAATGCTTGTCTTTTGACTATCCTTCCCTCTCACTGTTCTGCTATCCATTTTCTTCGAGAACAACGCCCCATGCAACTTTGGCATTGATCACAACCACCGAATGTCGCCGCTGTTCCACACTGCGCGTCCTGATTTGGGATTCAACTCTGAATCCACTGATAAATAGAAAAATAAAATCTTCTGATCCGAAGAAAAACTATAAGATACCGTAATTATTCTTGCATGTTATGCACCTCAAACATTCGGCGACAAAATTCTGAAAGAAAAATAAAATCTGATGTATACTACGCACTAACTTTTCAAAATTTTCTCTCCTTAATTTAACAATTGTTTAAGTTTTATCTGGTTCATTTGCACTAAAATATGAATTTATGTAGTTTACTTTGTGACGCTACGATTAAGACAACCATACTGAAGGGGATACTGTGTGATTTTATCATTATATCAAGTGTTTCGGGTTTTATTACCATCAATAAATCAGTCGAATATGGTCTTCAAAGTGGTCACCCACTTGACTGAAAGTGAATAAAATAATAAATAAATAAAGCTTTTGGAGTCAAGTGACAACTAAACCGGATATTAAGAATTTCTGGTCACAGATCAATATTAATGGCTACAACTGAGATTGAGAAAGTTCTGGATAGCCGTTGACGAAGACTAGGAAGTTTCGATGCCACCCGTTAGAGTTTTCAGATAAGTCGTGATTTGGGGATGGGCAGAGAGGTGGTAGGAGAAAGAGTCGAAGGAAAGAACTGATCTGTTAATCTGGCATTGTAGAAGTTTTCCTAAGTGTCACCAAACAAACCACCCCGACCGCACAAGAGAGAGAACTGAAAGACCTAAAGGTATTAGTACTCATTTCTAGCCGCGGCGTTTATTTTCATCTTTCGTTTCTTAGTGAGCTTGCAGCGGACTTTGCCCAGTTTTTTTGATGCACGCCGACATGAATGAAAATGGAGACACAACGCGGGGTTAAGTCAATTAACGCTCAGTGGAAAGCTTGGTTAGAACCCAGTTGTATGCTTGCAGCATTGTTTTGTTTCATTGTTCCATTAGCAAGAGGAAAGTTCCATTCGTACAGGTTCTCAAGCACCGTTACTTTGTGGAACCGATTCCCAGGAGGATAACCTCTTCAAGTCTAAGGTTAACGGTTATCTTTCGCATATCTCAAATTGCGCTTCTTTCATCTTACTCTTACAACAATCTTTCATTAACCTCCCAATCTTGAGTGACTTTTGGGACTTCTATAGGACTTTTGGAGGCACGGTGGAGTAATGGATAGCAGCTCGGATTGAGGAATCGGAGAGCAGAGTTCGAATTCCAATCGATTCCATTACATTCACTTACGTGCCAATACTCTTGGGAAAGGTATGAATCCTCTTCTCCCCCAGCTATGGGCAAGTAGCAGACAGACCGGCTTCTATAGTCTTGGATGGCAACTGGTCTACCGCAAAAAGAAATGGCAATCTACTGCGAGAAAAAAAAAAATCACCTCGTCAGTCATGTATCGAAAGATACATGATCGCCTAAGCGTGTATCACGTATGGCACATAACTTACTGATATGGCGATCATTAGAGAACACCAAATTTAAGGTATTTAATGCCAGCTTACGGACATGGTAACACAAAAAATGCAACAAGCTTACGGTGAAAATGAGCTCACACTAAGAGAAAAAATATTACATATATACCAGGGGGTACTGGCTGTTTCTCTGTAGCGGCTTAAAGCAGAATGATATCCCTTGTGAGGAAGAAGGACAAGATAGCACCGTGGACAACGATGGCATCTACTATGCTTGCAGCATAAATCAGTCATAAGATCTACTTTTAATACCGACTACAGTTAAGCAGACAAAAATTAAATTTTATATATATATATATATATATATATATATATATATATATATATATATATATGCATGTTACATTAAATAATATAGACAAGTTTTGTCGATTTATTTCTAGTAAGTTCCTTTCATATTGTCTGATAAACTTAATAAAATTATCGTTGAAAAACGAAAGGAAATCACCATATTTATACATGTTTTAATCCTATCTAAGCTTTCGATTTACATAAGCCATGATCAAAGATGACAATTACATTTCACCATATTAAACAATACACGGAGAAAACAATAATGATAACTGTTTTTGTTGCCTGAAAAATTTCAAAGCAACGTTAAACTCGTGTATACGAGACGCGGAAGCGAAAATCGCATCACAGCTCGTGATGTTACACAAGACCACGCGAGAGTGAAAACGAAGTATTAAGTATGGGAAGCCGTTGGTATAAAGCAATGGCTTCTGTTATCATTTATAGGCATTTAAGGATATTTGTGGAAATTTCGTAATTTATTTTGTTCAGGTTAGGTTTCAACTGTTTTATGTATATAGCTTCAAGAATTTTTAGTTTTTGTTTTCATGTCATCATATTATATATATGCCGCGAGTGACTTTAAACTGTTATGTATTAATTAGTTTGGACCACAGATATTATCTACTTTTGACCATACTGACCCGAATATC